GATTAGTTGTGGATTTTAATATTATTCGAGCAAGGGAAAACTAGCGCGCACTTAAACATTAGGCCGGGTACTCACTTGTGCAACATCGGCCGCGCATTCGCTGCGCGGCCGCGCACAGCCAAAACGCGTACTCACTAGGCCTGTGCGCGGTTCGAACGACCCTTAAGGCACTTAAAAAAGGTCGATTTTTATAACCAGGCGAGCACTGAACACGATGCGCGGTTCGTCCATGCCAGGCGCACTGGCAAGCCGCGCACGCAAATGCTCGCGCGCATTCTTCCCAATTCCCAAAAGAAAGTTTTCCTTTTGCACGTTTTAATGATTTCCTATGCAAAATACGTTAATGGATATATGTGAAAAGTGTCCTCTTTCGTTTTTTTTGAAAGAAAATGATTTTGTACATTATTTCAATCTAGTTAAGCAACAACATGCCTAATTAGGTAGGTAGGAAACGAACGAATATATAAACTGATGCGCCCTCGGAATATTCACTATTTCTGAAGAGTTCGAACAGTGAACATCGAGACAAGACGAAATTGAGAATTATGGAAGTTATCAACAAAACTGTGATTCATCTCATCGAGGCATGCCGCGATAAGCCACAATTGTGGCAACCAACGCATGCCGATTATCATCTCAAAGTAAAAAAATTTGATGCGTGATGTAAAACTGCAGAGGATTTCGGCTGTAGTGTAGACGGAGTTTTTCACACTACCTGCTACCTCGGAGATAAGTACGGGGGATCCGTAGCCGAAACTGCCTGTTTACGCTCCCGGAAACATTGTCAAAGATAGGACACTAGAGGGGAGCGTATTTCCTTTCCTCGTTCTTCTTTTACTTTTCTTGTCTTTATCACAGCGCCCCTCAGAATTCCGCTTACCAACTAGTTTTTCGGGTAGTTTCCGTTGAAATACACCTTCTTCAAGGGTTTTCAAGAGGCATTCATTCGTGTTTTATACATATGTGGGATACAAGTCGACTTATAAGCGTTTAAGCCGAACGTACCTGGAGACGGCGTATATATCCGCAAGTATCACACAGAATTCCGGTTTCCAACTAGTCTTTCGGGAAGTTTCGGTTGATATACACTTTCTTTAAGTGTTCTGAAGAGGAATTCAAGAATCATTCATACACATGTGGGATACAAGTCGACTTATAAGCGTTTAAGCCGACCGTACCTTGAGAGGGCGTATATATCCGCAAGTATCACACAGAATTCCGGCTTCCAACTAGTTTTTCGGGAAGTTTCGGTTGAAATATACTTTCTTTAAGTGTTCTGAAGAGGAATTCAAGAATCATTCATACAGATGTGGTATGCAAGTCGACTTATAAGCGTTTAAGCAGAATGTACCTTGAAAGACGCCTATATCCCCAAGTATCCCTCAGAATTCCGCTTACCAACTAGTTTTTCGCCTGCGCGGCTTGACGGTGCTTCAGGTCCTTGAGTGCGCAGAAGATCGTAAAAATGACCCTTTCAAGTGGATTTGCGCCCGTGCGCGACCGCGCTGTTGCACAAGTGAGTACCCGGCCTTATATACGACACGTGGTGGATTCAATTGTCACGTTCACTTAAAAGGTTAAACGTACGATTTATGCGATCGATTACAAAGGGAACCGTAAATATAAATGTATATAGC